CCCTGGACACGGGCCCCGAGTGCCCTTATGGCAAAGATGGTACTCGTGGTGAAATTTGTCTATTGAAATGCATCCCCTAACTGTAGGTATTACGGCACTACTGTACTGTGGCATCATATTGTTGGAACTTAGGTTATCTTAAGTCTTAAATGCCTACTTATTTAGCTAAAATAAAACTTAGGTAAGTAGGTACTTACCTTCTACATTTCTAAAACTACACTTTCACTACAAATAAAATTGGCAAACTATTACATTATATAAAAACACGCCTTTTATCCCTGAAGTGGTAGGCAGAGGTGCACATTACGCCTGTACTGTACAGTGTACATGTCTTTATGTTATGAGTTTCATGTAATAGGGGGTGAGCTTATTGCCTTACCGGGCACAATTCCAGACTCCGTGCTACTACAGAGATTAAAAAAATACCAGTAGTACTTTGCCCGACCCGGGAATCGATCCGGAGAGCCGTTGCCCAGCGGTCACACTTGCGACCACTCGGCCAACGAAGCAGTCGAAGCAGAATTGCCAATACAACGTGGCGACAGTCTATCCACGTGATCGCAAATTGAATAAGTAGGTACCTACAATTTATTATTTTAAATTATTTACCCATGCTATTATGTCGCTTTCTATTGATCACCTTTTTATAAGTCAGCGTTTTAATCTTCTTAATAATTAAATATTCATATTCCATACTACTGATGCTAAATCGATAATGTTCTGCAATAGAACGCTGACCACGTAGCCGCGTAGCTAGCGTAGCTTATAGGTACGTGGTACTACGTAGTTACGCGTAGCCGAGCGTAGCGCGCGTCGTTCAAAAAAATTGCCATACTCGCCGCCTGAAACACAATACATAGGTACTTATTTTTTAATTTACTTATTTTACGATTACACATACCGTGTGAAAATTTTATTACATAAGTAAATTAATTATAAAAATACTAAAAAATATAATAAAATTAATTAAACAAAAACTCGTGTGTGAATATAGCTAAGTACTTAGTTTATAAGTATTGTTAATTTCAAATTCATACCTACTTAATTAAAAACTTAAGAGGTACCTAACCTACTTGGGTAGTTAACTGAAGATTGATTTAAGTTGTATAAACTTAATTGTTTCTTTTTTGTTTTTCTTTGCCGTGTTGTTGTAGACGAAACAAATTGCTCATTGTCCGCTAACCTCTAAACCACTAGAATTTATAACCTTCTGTAATTTGTATTTAAATCGAGCTAATAATTAATAGGTACCTATGTGTTAATCAATGCAATACGTATGTATGTTTGTTTGAACGGTTGCATAATATGATGAACTCAGAAGTAGGTTTTGTAGTTTATAGTTGATAGAGTTGAAAAATAAACTTCACTGGACTTTTGACCTTTGACCTAATAATATTTTTTTCGAGCAATTTTATTTTGTCAGTTATGTATTTAACCTTTAACTACTAAAGTGGGTGTCTCATAGACGGCGTGTTCACGAATATAAGAATTTTCCAAAAAAACGTCCAAATAATTGTATTGTAGCTAAGATTGTAACATTTTTTTTTTTAAGTTATGCGAAATATTTATAATTTAGTTTATATAGTATTTGAATCAAAAAGCGCTGATTTCATTCGAAAATGTTGTTTTTTGCACTTCCTCAATAGAATTATAATGGACCGATTATAATACAAGTAAATACTGTGCAAATCAGTAAATAAAAGTAATCTATTTCGATTATTTATTAAGGTGTTTGACGTACGTCACGACACCATTTATGGTATGAGTAAACCACGCCAGGACTTGAAGGTTAAGTATAAACAAAGAAAATCTAAGTGTTCTTTGGTAGCTGCGGAGGACTTAACGGGTTGCCGGGACTCCAGCTCGAAGTGCAGGAATAGGAACGGTGTGGTTTCTCGCCTCACCCACGCGTAAGAAGTCATTGGATGATTTTCCCCCTAAAAAGTATTCTATGGTCTTTTACAATTTTTTTGTCACTTAGGTCATTATAGGTAGCAAATAGTACATAAATACTTACTTAACTTGTCTTGAATATAGTTCCTTAAATACCTATTTATGACTGTTGTTGTTAGTATTACGCACTGAATATTCCACAATCGCAAACTCTTGATATATCCTAGGATTTACATAATTTATCCTGGACTTTACTGTAATACTTCAAACTGATTTGTTTTTCTATCATGTCAGTACTTAATCAGTTACCCTTATCCATAGTTCCTTATCCTACTATTGGGTAAATAGAATTGTTACTCCATTCTAACAATGTAGTTACTGAATACATCATTGATATACATATATACTCTTACCTACCTATCCACTTATCTAATAGTAATAGATTATTTGGTAATGGTCTACGGTATGTACCTACCTAATTTATTAATTAAAGAATTCAACATTGCCTCATTGGTCGACTGGTCGCAAGTGCGACTACCGGACAAAGGGTCTCGGATTCGACTCCAGGGTCGGGCAAAGCATAACTGGGTTTTAAAAAAAAACTCAGTAGTCACACGGAGTCTGGAATTGTGACCGATAAATGGTAATAGGCTCACGCCCTATTATTATTCATGGGCGTATTCATGGCATATTATTCATGGGACTCATCATATAAATAGTAAAAAGTGGGTGTCTACCCTCCAGGGATAAATAGCGTGATGTTACGTTATGTGTTAATTAAACATGTCATCACAACACCGTCATCAGCTAGAGAAGTCATTAAATTTGAAAACTTTTAAAGATCGAACGATTACAGATCGGCTTACAATAACTATAAGTTCAGTAGTATGTAAAGCTAGCTTATAGTAAAAACAATAATTGTGTAATGTATGAGTCAATTATTCTTGTTTCGTAATTCATCTTAGCCATAACTATTGTGTAAAAGAAATGAATCTTACAGGAGTGGAACAAATCTTTGGTCAAAGTAATAAAACAGATAATTTAGTTCGTATATCATAGTCATTGCAACATGTACAATCTTCTTGAGGAGATCCTTCTTTAGTATTTTATTTAAATACCTACTATTTTACAATTATTAAAATTTCACATAAATGATCTGTAAGAACTAAGAAGTTTAAATTCAGAAAACGAATGCTTTTTCATAGTATTTATTTTTTTAGCCGTTATTTTTTTTTCACATTAAAAAAATATGTTACTAATCTGATTTCAAATTAGCTAGTGAGCTTATTCCAGGGATTTTCGGACGTATCGATCTCGGTTTCTGACAGGAATTCCATATAGGTAACTAATGTTATGTGAAAAATTGATCTCTACTCTAAATTTATTGAATTGACATTGATTTAGTTTTTAATTGAGACGGTTAAATGTTATGTATCTACTGTCAGGTTAAATGTTACCTAAATATGTGATATGTATAGAGGTATAATATGAAAATATTATTATGCATATCAACCAATTACGATTAATCTATAATAAGCTAGCCTTAGTTACAGGACAAAAAGTGACAATATCGCTTTTCAATATGACATTTCAAAGTAAAAAAAAAGAAAATTTACCTACTTAAATACTTATTGTAGGAGTAGCTCGGTAGGTAGGTGCATTATGTATAGAGAGTGACGCTTTAATTCTATAGTAGGTATTTATTACTTGGAGATTAAAATAATGCAGTCATATTCCCCAACATAATATACCTACTTGAATTTTCTATATCGTTCCGAGTCAGTACGAGGTCATAATCCACATAATAATTATTTATAAACTTTCACATTGGCATGACGTGAACAGTTTTTACAGCAATACAGCATTGTACTGGGTATTGATATACCCGTTTATATTTGCTAAAGATATGAAATATTTATTATACGACTAGTTGGGCCTGCTGCCAGATACAGTTCTGCACCAAATATATGTAAGTTATTCTGTAAATTCTTATGAATGTGTTCAACATGTCTGATTCCGACGCACATCGCGGCGGCGAGACAAAGCAATAACAATCTGTGTTTTTTTATGACAGACATTTAATTCTGTGGACTCGTAAAATCGGGGATAACTCAATTCCACGATAAATTCTAACAGAAACAAAATATTTGTGGTTTTGGAAGTCCTAAACTTGCGATAAATCTTACATTTTATGTACCTACTTACTTAATATTTGTAAACGGTGGCAGATAAGGGCTACTAGAATTATAAACAAATAATGTATTTTAATATAACGGCCGATTTCGGTGACAAATATATTCGCTCTACTAGAATGAAATGCTTTAATAAAATAATCATTAAATGTATAAAAATACTCGTTGTCACCAGAGACGACTACTGGCTGTGTATATCATAGACTGGCTAGATTGTCACAGTCGGCACTTAAGCGAATTAGTCCCAAGCTTCGAACTTTTTTTTTAAGATTACATTTTCAGTTGTACCTGCCACTACTTTTGTCCAGGGTACAACCTACACCTACCTTAGGTTCACCTAGTACCTAAATCCTATATCGCAAATATAGGCTAGGCATTCACTTCTGTTTGTGTATTTCTTTTTCCCTAATATGAGTACCTAATAGTACAGTTTTCTAATTTAATATACTGCTTGAGCAGCTCGCAATTTGTGAAACGTATTGTTCTGGCTGCTACTCATCCTTCACTGTACACACATATTTCAAATGTCTCGAATGCACAGACACATTTTTTAGAAATTCATATGTTGTTTTTGCACGAAGTTAGCTATAAATTTTTATTTTTAAACTAATGGCTCTATAACAATTCAAAACAATTGTTGGCGTCAGAAACCAGTTTAATAGAGATGATAAGTGTTGAAGAAACAAGATGCGCATTGAGTTTATTCTTTAGTTACTCAACCCAACAATGTTCTATGAGTTACTTTTAACTATCCACATTAGTAAGTATTAGCTTATAAAAGTATAGAATCGATGGTAGGGATTAAGTTGTCATAATGATGCACATAGTAATGGTGCGTCGGAGTGTCGGGCGGCGCGACGGGCGGGGCGGGCGGATGACAGCGCTGCATTTTCCCCGCCCGCACCGCGCTATTGCCGCGTTTTCCACGAGGGGCGCGCCGGCCCCCTCGCCGCATCAGCCGGGAAATTGCGCGGCGCTCGTCTCAGTCCGGCTCAGCCGTCGCGCTACGACGACGCCTCCGAGTCGCGCGCTACGATCGCGAACCTGCGCTCGTTGCATCTACCGTACGAACAGAGCGTGCGCGGCCAAAATAGTGAGCTCGTGGCCGGGAGCGGTCGGACCCCGGTGAGAATACAGTGGTCGCGGCGGCATGCTGCGCGCGCTGCTGTTGCTGGCGCTGGCGGCGCTGGGGCCGGGAGCCGCGCGCCGCCACGCGCCCGACCTGCGCGAGGACGAGCCCGCGCGCCGCACCACCCGTCCCGCCGGTGAGTGCTCCACCGCTTGCATCGCATGCACCGCTCACAACGCTCACGCCGCACGCGCTGCCAAAGATGCCATCCGACGTAATTAAATGCACATCGATCTTTCTCATCTGCCCAGCGTCACCGAGCCGCCCGCGTTGCCGTTCACCTGTGGAACGCATATTGCCTCGCAATCCTCACGTAGGGAAATAGTGGACAGCCCTATGCACGTGTGTTTATGTAAATAATTGCATTCCAAAGTTTCCGCACCAGTCTCCGAGTACTAGATCAATTAAAACGTACGTAGTATTAGTGTTAAAGGTGACTAGCGATCCGCTTGTGCTTTAAATTGTTTATCACTGTTCGTATCGTTATCAGTGGAGCCGATACCAGCTTCAATACTTAGGATAATAAAAACAATACCACGTGAGAGCCGCTCACTTTCGTCTTAACAATATCAACAAACGGAGAGAATGTCGAGAGGTTCTATTTTCGGAAAATGATACAATAACTAATCTGTTATCGGACAAAGACTCGTCGAAGGTAATCTCATAAACATTTATTACTTTATCAATTTCTGGCAACGGATTGTAGTGAAAGGTTTTCGCGGGTTCACCGGCGGAGAAATAAACTTTGCTTGTTTATAGGTGATAAGTAACGTCATCATCAAATACAAGTACCTGTTTATGTTGTTAAAACGAATAACTAACAGTTAATTGGTCATAACTTAGGAACATTAACAGTCTAACTATGTTTAACGGCTAATAACATAAATGTGTGTTAGTAGAAAGCCTCAAGAAACCTAAGCCGGAGCCTAAATATTGCTGAATGACCTCTACAACGTCTGAATCCTAGTTTCGTATATAAAAATTTCAGTAAATTGAAGATTTCTATATTATTGAAATTTCCGACATACAATTATCCTTTCAAAGCTGATTAAGTTTTGTTAAAACTCATGTTTGTATGGTTCGGTATCGATAAGCCGATTAATTTCTAGAACATACGACAAAAACAAAAAGAAATTATATAACACCTAAGTCTGAAAACCAGATAGATAAGTGGGTTATCTGTAACTAGCACAAAGTGGAAATTGATGCACGTTAAGTATATATTCACTGCGACTAATGAGGTAATAAGTAAAACTTGATTAAAAATGACTTAATCGACAATATCAGTCTTGGACGAAAGTATCAATACATTTTAAAGTGAGCGTACAATCTGATATCTGTTTTTATCAAACCTTTCTATATTTAAACAGTTTTATTATACTATCAGTATAGGTAATGGTCAATTTAAAATTATGATTGAACGCAATCGAATTGAATTAGACACTACTTGTAATTGATTAAAGCCGGTTTTAAATTGTTATCTATTATCATGTTTCTGTAAGAAACTTACAAGATGCGTGTTTAAATAAAATAGAATATATAAAGTTATAAAGTATAGTTGCATATACTCATGTCACATACAAGTTGATATATCATCGTTAGAGATATGTATACGAACCACATGTACCTATGTGAATATCAATGTCGTATGATTTTATAATCTTATCGTACTTATTATGTTATGAGTTTATTATGATTACTTAAAACACACCAAAGATTTTACTTATGTATATGTTGGCTTAGGTCTTTAATATCCAGCTAAATGTCTGTTTAATGCATTATTTAACACGTAGAGTCATGATATTGCATCAAGAAGATGTTTAAAATGATTTTTTCCCACAAGGTCGCTGTTATATTTTTATATCGCGCCATTGCAGTGTAAATATTAATTTAGTAGTGGACATAAGATTAAATGATCTCGTCTAATTAAGTTTACAGCTCTTACGTTGTTTGAGGGTGATGTCATTACTATTATCATGGGTACAGGCACAGACAGCAAGGACTTTCTAAGGCGCGCTCGATGGCCGCCGTGACTCACGGCCGACAGCTTTCATTCATTTTCCCGACGTGATAAAAGTTACAAATGTTTGCCAAGATTGTATTAACAAGTCTGCCAAAAATTGTATTACCGAGAAGAGAAAAAAGTTGTGCTCGTCTGTGTTGTCTAGACAGGCGGCCGAGACAAGACGTGACGTGACGCGAAAATTTGAAACCATTGTCGACATTTTGACGAAGTTTTTGGCTCGTTTTTGTATAAACCACCTTTTCCCCGGAAAGAGTCGTAAAAAGTACGTTAGAAGTATCGTGTAGTCATTAGTACTTATAAGTGCGTAAGTACATAGAGAGTGTTATTCGTCGCAAGCGCATGACGTGCGATGGCAGTGGGTGTCGGCTGAAAGGGCGTGCTAATTTCAGGTTGGAGGTTTGCGTAACTGTAGTACAAACGAAAACAACGCGGAACGGCAGTAATGCCCACAGCCCGCAGCCCGCAGCCCGCAGCCCGCTCGTCACCTGACGCCTTCGAATGTCACATTTCTGATTGATTGTGATGCTGTTATCAAGTGTTATTATCGATCGACACTACTTGAGTAAAGTACCATGCATATCTAGGTACTTATATATATCTGCATACAAGAAAATGTTGAATGAAATTAATGGTGATAAAAATCATAGGTTCGTCGTCAAAGGGAAAGGCAGACACACAACGGCGTCTTAGCAGTAGGTGTCCGCTTTTACTCCCTGGGTACAGAATCCTAAAAATGTGTACGTTATTCACCCAACCAAAAAGTAAGCCAAAAAGACAGGAAAAAAAGCAGTCAATTTATGTCAGATTATGGTAAAATAACTACTGAAGTGTTACCAATAAACCTCCCGGCTTCGTAGAAGTGGGTTTTATTAACAATAGACCTAATTTACGAGGCATATAGGTATAATTTTGTTAATGATAATTTATATCTTTTAAAGGTTCGGTAGTTAGGTACATAACATGTCTACCTGTATTTTATTTATTTAATAAACAAGTTCCAGACAGTTTACTTAATAATGTCTATGTGTATATTAGGTACGTTAGTAATTTAGTATTTATGCAACTCGGATTGCAGTTGATAAGAACTCGTGCAGTGAGGATACCTCTACATAAAATATTTACACTTTATTATTATTTACTTAACCAACTTCAAATTAATCTAACTTACATTTTAACGTATGTAGCTAGCTAGCGTCAGTCAGCGTATCAATAAATCTGTACATAACATCACGCCTTTTAATCCGAAGGAGTCACACAGTGTAACACCGCCTTTGCAACCGCTATGTTACGAGTCCCATGTAATAGTGGATCAGCCTATTACGACCCATATACCGAAAATACAAATCACTACATAGTATAAAACAAAATCGCTTTCCGCCGTCTGTCTGTCCCCATGTATGCTTAGATCTTTAAAACTACGCAACAGATTTTGATGCGGTTTTTTTAATAGATAGAGTGATTCTTAAGGAAGCTTTATATGTATAATACATCCATACTGCACCCGTGTGAAGTCGGGGCGGATCGCTAGTAGGTACATAATAAATCGAATCACATAACAAGAATACTAAGATTACCATGTGAAGCAGATAAGGAAAGTTCTCAGTCAATCGATTTCAAAGTACTAATTACTAATTGATTGTTATCCTCCCAAAACCCGCTCGTCTGTCCAGCCCCAAATTTCACAAAAACTTTCCATGCACTTAGATCAATAGAGCACGCAATAAGGAGTCAAAATATCGTTGTATTGTAAACAAAACCAACAGGAAGTTATGACCGAAACATCACGGTTCGTTAACAACATGCAAACAGCAGTACACTTGGCGCATTGTTATTTTTAATGCTATGATCGAACTTTATCCGAGTGATCTTTAACCTTACAGCGGCCTGCCATCAAAAATACTTGTAGTTGGTCCCGATAGTGGATAGGTATTCCAAATTTGTTGCGCCTTTGACTTTTAGTCTGCCGGTGATTGCTTTCTGATGTCATTTGTATTTTTATACTTGCAATTCAAGATTGTGTACTATTTTCATTGTAAACATTACATTCTTAACATTGTTTTATGTTAATTATCTACAGTTAATACCTAAAGTTTGTGGTTTTGTTCCAAATGTACATATTATGTGTACGGGTTAAAAAACTTATTGCGTTGTTAGCGATATTCTTGTTAAAGGTTTTTAGTTAAGCTACATCATGTCACACTATTGCATCAGGAAATAAATGATGTGAACCATACTATTTTATATATTGTTATGTTGAGTACTACTTCATTTCGATTTCTAGAAAATTACTTCCCTTCAATTACAAGACATTTGTAACATAACCAACGAAAAGTGTACCCTTGCCTGCCCCCAGGAATAGAATGAAGTATATAAAGTATATAAAATTATAACACATAACATCATGCCTTTCATCCCCGAAGGGGTAAGCAGAGGTGCACATTATGCCACTGTATAATGTAACACCCACTTTTCATTATTTATGTTATGTGTCCCATGTAGTAGGGGGTGAGCCTATTGCCATATATCGGGCACAATTCCATGCTTCGTGCTACTACAAAGATTTTTTTTTAAACCCAGTTATACTTTTGGGGAATCGAACCCGAGACCCCTTGCCGGCAGTCGCACTTGCGACCACTCGGCCAACGAGGCAGTCTATAAAATTATAAATAGGTACTTATACAACGCTATTTATATTATGTTTACGCACTAAAACATGGCTCTGATCTTCTCAAAATCAATAAGATTCGTTGTACAATCAATCTTAATCGAGATATTGACGAATGATCGTCGCCAAATCAAATAATTATGTAGTTGCTTAAAACAAGGAATTCATATGAAAATATTTTACCGTCACGAATCATTAGCTTTGCAAAATAGACATCGCTCCTACGTATAAAGTTGGTAGATAAATATATAAAGACTTGCGGACCCGACAGACGTTGTCCTGCATATCCACTTGAATGTATAAACAAAAATTCATTCAAATCGGTTCAGCCATTTAGGATAACTAACCTAGACACCAAATGCATCGCCATCTGCCGGGCTGATTTGTGAATCTGAACCATTCCCAGATCCCCTTGAACACACACAATAAATTTCATCAAAATCGG